TGAATCTCTCCTCACTCTGTGTTTTCTGTTAGTTTTCTCACTCCATTTAGTGCTTGGCTGAGTTCTTTATCTCTTCATTTGATGTTTTTGGGTTTCAGGATTGTTTTCTCTGTTCAGCTTAGTTTTTTGGATCTTTGCTGTGGAGGGACGGCGTGGTGCTTCTGCCTAGAGCGCCATTTTGCCAGATGTCTCCTAAGAAGACTATTTGAGCTTCAGCTTCACATCTGTATTCTGGCTAACAGAAAGGAGGAAAGAGAAAAGAGTCACTCTCCTCTTTTAAAAATAATTTTCTGCAAGATGTCTATGACCTTTCCACTTATATCCTCTTGGCCAAATTTGGTCACATGGCCACATCTAAGCTGCTAGATTGGAAGTGGAAATTTAGCTTTTATTTCAAGTGGCCATGTGTCTGGCTAAAAATTGTAGTTCTATTAAAGTGGACAAGGGAGGCTGAATATTTGGGACAGCTAGCAGTCTCTGCCTCAGTGGTCATTCTTTGCAAAGCAGTGTTTTGCAACTATAACCCTTTGGCTAAGAAGAATTTGTTGAACTCTACAACTTGGCTTAATAAAACCAAAACAAAACTTTTATTTTTCAAATATAAAATCATAATATTAAAGAACTTTTTAGTGGCATGGAGCCCTGATGGTGTAGTGGTTAAGAATTTGGCTGTTAACCAAAAGGTCAGCATTTCAAATCCACCAGCCGCTCCTTGGAAACCCAATGGAGCAGTTCTTCTCTGTCCTGTAGGGTCACTATGAGTCAGAATCAACTCGATGGCAATGTTTTTTTTTTTTTTTTAAGTGGCATAGCATTTCTTCCCCCGCCTTACCATGTTGTTGTTGTTGTTAGGTGCTGTGGAGTCAGTTCTGACTCATAGTGATCCTATAGAACAGAGGAGAACTGCCCCATAGAGTTTCCAAGGAGCAGCTGGTGAATTTGAACTGCCTACCTTTTGGTTAGCAGCCATAGCTCGTTGCAGCTGTAACAAGGGCTCCTTCCCATGTTAGAACCACTGATTTAAAGGATTATGAGTAGGCAGTGTAATTTATTCTTGATTTTGGTTTTTACCCCGTAGGTGCTTCAACCGTTTCTCAACAGACTTATTATATGAAAATTCAATCAAAACTGCAAACTTTAGAAGAGAAAGCTAAAGAGGCTGAGAGAACAGCTGAACTGGCTGAGGCTGATGCTAGGGAAAAGGATAAAGAACTTATTGAGGCTCTAAAGCGGTTAAAAGTTTATGAATCAGTATGTATTTTTATCTTTTTAATCAAGGAGCTTAGAATCATTCTTGTCACTCACAATTAGACTGTTCTGTGCCGTTTACTGCTTACCATTTGTAGGTATTCCATAAGTGTCTTGATAAAAGGATAATTTATAATAAACTTTTCAAACTCTTAAGCAGCATTTACTTTTTGGAAAAATTATTTTTCAAACCATTTTGATGAAAGTGTTTTTTTGCTCAGGTAATCAGCTTTGGTGAGGCCACAGGATTAGAGGCTTTGCAATCTGTGCCATTGTGCCACCATGTAGATGTAACACCACCGATTCATTTGATAAAAATTATGACAAGCAATTTCTTAACCTGCTGTGTCAACACAGCCTTAGTTTGTTATTTTTTTGTATATTTTTAATATGATTACAACTAAGTCAGGCAACTAATGACCTATGTGTCCTACTGATATAGCTGGTTTACTTAACTACACCTTTTCTATATTTTGTTAAGTGTTTTATATGTAATATTTCTCGGTCACTTTTCCGTTAAGACTGCATTAGAAGTTTCAAGTCTTCCCTTTTCCATTATTATTATTACTGAATTTGTTCTATAAAAGCACAGTAAAAATAAGTTTGGTGATATAAACCTTAGATATCTGTGCATTCCTTCACAGACTTAATAAGAATATAAATTTCTGAATTTGATAAATGTGTTTAAATAAATCACATTATGTTTAGATTGGGCATTTTACAGGGAGTGTATGGTTTAGAAGATGCTGTTGTTGAAATAAAGAATTATAAAAATCAAATTAAAATAAGAGATCAAGAGATTGAAGTGTTGACAAAGGAAATCAATAAGCTGGAGTTGAAGATCAATGATTTCCTTGATGAAAATGAGGCACTTAGAGAACGTGCAGGTAAGCCATCTTTAAGATATGTAGTTTGCTCTAATCTGATTTGCAAGTATTTTTGTTTTTCTGTTTAATATTATTTTTAGTAAATAGGTGAATGCTTTTTGTGAAATAAATACTTCTGTAAAAACATTTAAAACAAAAACAGAGCTGCTCTGAAATAGGATAGGGGATTTAGTGGGTATGGGACACTAGGAGGGACGGTCCTCGAGCACTGCTTTACCTGGTTCCGTATCTCCTGGAGACATCAGTGGACTCTCTTAGGATCTTCAAAGCTCAGTTAGAAATCCACTGTGCTAGAAATAGTAATAGTAGATTGTTTTAAAAAGGAAATTCTATGATTTTAGTACTGCGTATTAGAAGTTAACCTCTTCTCTTTTAATGAATGTAGTATTGCTATGACTCATTTAGTCTGCAAAGCATTCTTGTTTCAGGTGAATTTATGTAAACATTTAGAAATATTGTTTAAGACTTTCTCAGACCTTTAAGTATTTGGCCTTTACAATGTAAATTTCTTAAGTTTTATTTTGGTTGAGTATTTTAACATTACCATTGATTTTGAGAAGTAATTAGTAAATATGGATGTTATGACAGTTTAATCTAAATTGCATTTTAAAAATGAAAATAAAGATCTATATATTGATTTCATTATACCTGCTAATATCAGTTATGAATCTTTCTAAGAGTTAAAATGACTAGCTGTAAAAATAACTATTTTCTAAAATCAAACAAACCAAACCCATTGCCATCAAGATTCATTGCAACCCTGTAGGACAGAGAAGAACTGCTACATAGGGTTTCTGAGGAGCGACTGGTGGATTTGAACTGCTGACGTTTTGTTTCGCAGATAAATGCTTAACAACTGCACCGTTAGGGCTCCTGTAAAGGAAGGAAAAATAAATATTTTATGTGATTTTTTATAAAAAGTGTCTAACTAGGAACCAGAGTTAAGCCAGGACCTCAAGTTAGGCCTCTGGTCAACTTAATGTACCAGATCACAGCCAGGAATCTAGAAGTTTGTAAAGATAACTTCTGAATCATTTAGGTAGCTGTTATAAACACCAGACTTTCTGTGTTTGAAAATCTCCAAATCATGAATTTATAATCACTTTAGACAATCTTGATATTTGGTATTCAGAGCATAGCTGCTTAACAGCAAATTAGGAGACAGGTATACTGGGAGTATCTGACTAGTAATGATAATACAATAGATAATTAATATTAATAATGACTACTTTGTGCCAGGCACTGTGCTCAGCACTTTATTTGGATTAGTTTTATTATATCTCTGACAATAAGCTGTAAATAAATCAAGTACAGTATTTATCCCTGTGACTTAGTTAATAGTTGAAAGTAGAATTTAAACCCAGGGTTGTTTTACTTCAAAGCTTCCATTCTTAATACATTGTAGTATCTCTTCTACAGCCTGACATAGAGAAGATAGATCCTTATACATTTTTGTCAGAATTTCCATTAATAATTATGACAAAATTTTAACTTGTTGGGTTCAATTCAAATATCTGGAAAATTACTGCACAGAAAGTACTGCATTCTTTAATGATGCTGGCTAATTGTGTCGTGGTATATAAAGTTTTTTTTTTTTTTTTTTTTAGTTCATTTGAATGTTGATAAAGATTTTAATTTTATACGTTCAATTTTAGGCCTTGAAGTGAAGACAATGATTGATTTAACTGAATTTAGAAATAGCAAAAGCTTGAAACAGCAGCAGTACAGAGCTGAAAACCAGATTCTTTTGAAAGAGGCAAGTGCTCTGATAAAATGGCTATTTTCTTTATTAAACTAAAGAGGAATACTAATAGTTCATGTTTTGCAGATTGAAAGTCTAGAGGAAGAACGGCTTGATCTGAAAAAAAAAATTCGCCAGATGGCTCAAGAAACAGGAAAAAGAGCTGCAACTTTAGGTATACTCAGTTATCCCAAACCCTTAAAACAATCATTAAAAACATGAGTTGTCTGAATCTAAAATTTTCTGTATGTTAGAGATATTTTTGCTCTGTTATTGTGATTCTCCTAGAAGTTCCATAAATGAAAATAATGGCCTGATGAAGAGTATATAAGTGAGTGTCATTAAGGTCAATCCTGAATCTGAAACAGTAAAACAAAACAAAAAATACCTTAGAATTGTGGACTTTTGGAAAGTTTACAGTATAGTCTTCATAAATTTCTAGGCATCCCTGACTGATGTGATGTGATTAATAATGATAAAATACATAGATAATTTATACTTTTTAAAATTGTCTCTTTCCCTAAGGGCTATCCATTGAAAATCTTCTCTGTAAATTAGCCTTTGCTAAGTGAAAGTAATGTTTTATTGAATAAAAATTAACTTTTTTTTGGTTTTTCTTACTTGATATAAAGGTAACAATTGGTTAAATTTTATAATATCCATTTTAGTGCCTTTTGTAAGAGGAATGCGAGGAAAGAATGTTTTTTTAACTTGGTCCGAGTCCACAGCACATTTGTGAATATAGCAGAGTTTTTAGCGTTACAATCTGTATCAAAAAAAAAAAAAAAAAACAAGAAAACAAAACGCCTACTGCTGTCGAGTCAATTCTGACTCATAGTGACCCCACAAGGTTTCCAAGGCTGTAAATCTCTGTGGAAGCAGACTGTCACATCGTTCTCGCACGGAGCGGCTGGTGGTTTTGAACTGCCGACCTTTTGGTTAGCAGTCAGTGGCTTTAACCACTGTACCACCAGGACTCCTTACAACTATATAGTACATTGAAAAACTTCTAGAGGTTTGAATCTTCATAATTTATTAGTGTATTAACCAGCTTACTCATTATTCATGTTTCTTGTCTACTTTCTTGTACATGTCTTGTAACTATTCTAGTACTTATTAATTAGTATTTTTAACATAGACTGGGCAAAAGATGATAGAGAAAATAAAAATTCAGATTAGTTTCTCATATTATTTATAGCTTATTAAAGATGAGGTAGATTTGAAGGTTGTAATAATTGGCTACCATGTAGATCAAGAATTTTTTAAACAATTCTACCTTTTGTTTGTGTTAAAACTTGATTCTAGTTTTAAAGAATTAAAGTATTAGAATAGTGGGAGAGTTATATTTATGTTTCTCAATTTGTTGATTCTCCTATATGTAGGATTGGTTGAGGACCTGAACCCAGCTGACAACTTTTCTCAGGAGAATAGAACAGGAGAAAGAAAATTTGATTTTGTGAGCCTCAGAAATATTAGTGAAGCTCAATCAAAGGTAAACAGTAAAGTATTGCTATGGTAAAGAGAATAAAGAAAAATGTTATTATCAGTGCTTTCATTTCCCGCTCCCCCACCCCCCGTTATCTCATTTTGAGCGTCTGCTTTTTTATATAGTTGTTAAATAAATAGAAAAAATGTTTGCTTATTTAAATAATCTGTTGACCCAAAGATTAATGAGACATTATTTACTCTGAATACAGATTAGGTGCTCAGATAAAATAGAGCCGCTGCATAGGAGACCATCATTCAGTATTCCACAGTCAGATAAGAATGAGCCAGAAGAGAGTATGACCATAGGATCCTTATCAAGAATGTTACCTGAAATTCATCATAGTATAGAAAGCAGAGTGGATCCTTTTGTCTCTTTAACTAGATGTTCTTCACCCACGCAAGTAAAAGATGCTAATTCAACTCCAGACACGATTACAATAAGGGAGATTTTTAAAGCACCATGTCTACAGTCTTTAAGAAATCTAGAATCATTAGTCAGTACCCTTAGTCGGGAGAGCTATGAAGAAATAAATGACTATTTATGCTCTCCTTCTGATGACTGTCTGAAGAAAGTGTCAAGAAGTCAGCAGGCACTAGAGAAGACTAATTTCATACCAAAAAGTGATTCTTCTTTTCAAGCTTTATCAACAGCTTCATACTTAATGCGGAAGTTATCACTTAGGCAGAAATCTGCAATATTTTGTCAACAAATTCACGATAGTAGTACTGACATGGATAGATCACAAGGAGCAGCATCAGAAGATGAACAGGTTCATACTCAAATAAAATTCGCTGATATCAACTTGAAAGAAGATGTAAGAAAAAAAGAAGTATCCTTACAGACAGAGAGTTTAAAAAGAGAGCTTGAAGTTAATCTTCTGGACTCTGTGCCTATTACTGCACAGTCAAAATTATCTCAGGTAGATCCACTTGACAATCTTATAGACCAGCTACGAAGAGAACTAGTATGTCTTAGGTCTCAGGTGAGCTTTCCTCCAAACTACATTCCTATGATAGCTTTTTAATTAATTCTTTTTCATAACTTCTCTAACAAAGTTCTTTAACAATTATAATAAGATTTTTTTTGTACATTAACACATTTATACACATTCCATTTTTTAAAAGTCTACAAATGCAACACATTTGATATGAGCTTATTAATTTGCCTAATTTATTAAATGTTTCCTTAGAATGAAGTCATAGCACAGGATTTATTGATCAAAGAAGCACAGAATAGAAGTGCAGAAATAGAACTTGAACGACGTAGAAGCCAGGCAGAACAGGTAGTGTAAAGGCAGACCATTAAAAAAGATGATTGTGGTACTAAAAAAAAAAAAAGCCATTAAGTCTGTTTGCCTTTTGCCGTGGGCGGAAAGGGAGAAGGTGAGAGGAAGATCACCATTTGTTTTACTCCTCAGATTTTACTTTATTTTTATGACTGCTGCCATTTCTCTATTGTTTCTGTTTGTTACGCTTCAATTGATCAAACTTTTCTTAACTTGAAAACTATATGTTATTGCAGTATTTTAGAAAAAAAAAAACAACCGTACCCTGTTTTTTTTTAGAATGAATTTCTTTCAAGAGAACTAATTGAAAAGGAAAGAGATTTAGAAAGAAGTAGAATTGTAATAGCCAAGTTTCAGAATAAATGTAAGTTGCTATTACTCTTATGTTTGTGTGTAAAAGAAATATTTTTCTATACTCAGAATCATGGGTCTGAAAGGACTTTAATACAGTCTCTGTTTTCTAGTCTGCATTATCCTTATTTACTGTCCTCACATGTAACAGTCACTCCCGTTTGTTTAGTCTGTTTGCCTAACTATTTCCATTGTCAGGGAAGGTTTGAATCTGAATTTTTCGTGAGGATGAATAAGACCATTTTTTCTAATGAAAATGAAGTTAGAAAACAGAATTTAAAATATTTTTGATATAAAACATAGTTAAGGCAAAAGTATGCTTATGATTTTTTTCTTTCCAGCTATGAGATAGTGTGTATATATGCATATGACTTAAATAGGTATACCATTTAGTTCAAGTATTTACGAAATGTGTTTATAGTTTAATTTTTAAAACTTCTTTTTTACATTTGCATTTTCCAAATGGGTATTTTTTCCTATATGTAAAATGTTCTTTATCTGTATAGAATAAATTATGATAAGGATCTATTCATTAAAGGAGAAAAATATGTAATTACAGTAAGAGAATTAGTTGAAGAAAATAAGCAACTTGAAGAAGGTATGAAGGAAATTTTACAAGCTATTAAAGAAATGCAGAAAGATCCTGATGTTAAAGGAGGAGAAACATCTCTAATTATCCCTAGTCTTGAAAGACTAGTTAATGTAAGTTTTTTTTTTTTCTCCGTGAATGGTTTTATTTTATTTTTTCAGCTTTTTAAAGTTGATGTTCCACTGTCTTCTGGTCTCCATAATTTCTAATCTCATGAGAAGTTTGACATCATTTATTTGTGTGTGTGTATTGTAAAATATGTTGTTAGTTGCCATCAAGTCAGCTGCGACCCATGGTGACCTTCTATGTTACAAAGTGAAATGTTGGCTAGTCCTATGCCATCTTCATGATTGTTGATATGTTTGAGTCACTTGTTGTGGATATTGTGTCAGTCCATCTGATTGAGGGTTTCCTTCATTTTTGTTGACCCCCTGCTTAACCAAACATAATATCCTTTTCTAGTGATGGGTGTTTCCTGATGTGTCTAAAGTGAGTCAGTCTCACCATCCTCAATCAAGGAGTGTTCTGGTAGTCTTTCTTCCTTGGATTGTTTGTTTTTCTGACAGTGTTCCTTTTGTTATTGATTTCTAGAATCATTCCATTCTTGCTGGAGAAGATACTTTGTATGATTTCAATCATTTTAAATTTATTGAGACTTATTTTATGACTAATATATGGTCTGTCCTGGAGAATGATCCATGTGCACTGGAGAAGAATTTGTATTCTGCGATTGTTGTTCTATATATGTTCTATATATGTTTGTTAGGTCTAGTTGGATAATAATGTTGTTTAAGTCTTCTATTTCCTTATTGATCTTCTGTTTAGTTGTTCTGTCCATTATTAAAAGTGATGTATTGAAGTCTCCAAATATAATGGTAGGACTGTCAATTTCTCCCTTTAGTTCTGACAATGTTTGCTTCATACATTTTAGTGCTCTGTTGTTAGTGGCATATATATTTATAATTGTTGTCTTCCTTATGAATTGATTCTTTGATCATTATATAATGTCCTTCCTTGTCTCTTATGACAGTTTTTTACTTGAAGTCTGTTTTGTCTGATAATAATATAGCCATTTCAACTCTGTTGGTTACCATTTGCATAGAATATTTTTTTCTTTCCTTTCACTTTGAACCTATTTGTGGTTTTGGGTCTCAGATTAGTCTCTTGCATATAATTGGATCATGTTTTCTTATCCATTTTGCCAGTTTCTGCCTTTTTATTGGACAGTTTAATACATTTACATTTTAAATTTTTGATAAGGAAGCACTTCTGCCATTCTGCTATTTGTTTCCTTTGTGTCCTTATACATTTTTTCCTCACTCATTTTCTCCAATACTTTGTGTTTAGTTGATTTTTTGTAGTGAACCATTTTGATTCTCTTCTTGTTTCCTTTTGTGTGTATACATATTTTCTTTGTGATTGCAGTAGAAATACCTTTAACGTCCGAAATTTATAACTATCTAGTTTGAATTAATACCAATTTAACTTTGGTAGAATATAAAAACTCTCTTCCTGTACAGCTCTTGATTGTTGATCTGAGTAGCTGGTGTAAATTAAGTTTTATAAACTTAAATTCATAAATAAGAAATTAAATTGGCCTATTTTGTTATTATGCGTGGCAATTAAGATAGTAAAATGCTTAAATGTCAATTTTATTTAAAGGTAGATCCTTTTTTTTTTTTTAACTACGACTTCAGTGGTTTTTTTCCCCATACCTCTTTGATGTAATCTAAATATGTTAGGCTATAGAATCAAAGAATGCAGAAGGAATCTTTGATGCCAGTCTTCATTTGAAAGCCCAAGTTGATCAACTTACTGGAAGGAATGAAGAATTAAGACAAGAGCTCAGAGAAGCTCGGAAGGAGGCTATAAATTTTTCACAGCAGTTAGCTAAAGCAAATTTAAAGGTGAGCATTTCACTAAATAAAAAAAAAGCATAGAAACTTAGGTTTAATATGAAACTTTTTTTTTTAGTGGTTATTTGATGAGAAGATGCCCATTGTATTAATTCTTTAAGCATTAAGAAAACTGCTGTTTAGATTTTTCTTATGAAATTAAGTAAAAAAATAAATACCTTATAATATAAAAAAGAATACAAATATTTTAAATCTTATACCTTGACATTTCTTAGTAAGAATTAAAGTATTATTTAATTGATTCCTGGCAGGGCATTCACATATATATATATATATATATATATACACTTTTCCAAATATTCAGTAGAAAAAAAACATGATGCTAAGGTACTGCTTTTGATTTTGTCTTTCTTTGGTTGCAAAAATTTGATTTTTTCTTCCCTGGATTGTTTGTTTCAGATAGATCATCTTGACAAAGAGACCAATCTTTTACGACAATCAGAAGGATCAAATGTTGTTTTCAAAGGAGTAGACTTACCTGATGGGATAGCACCATCTAGTGCCAATATCATTAATTCTCAGAATGAATATTTAGTATATCTCTTACAGGTACTGTAAATTTACATGTGAATAACCAAAACCATTGATGATATGTTTCATAGTTTAATCTTCATGTATTCCTTTGAGCTCTCAGAATATTAAAAGTGAAATATATTTTTAATAAATTTTGAAGTTGGATGGAATCCTATGAATAAAACCAGTTTATTCCACTCATCTGCATGAGAGGCATGCTCATACGTCTTGCTGACGTTATATGTCAGTCATGTGAAATATAGAATTGATGGGTAGGATAACAAGTAGCCACTATAAGATTGTTGTTATTGCGTGCTGAGTCAATTCCAACTCATAGCAACCCTATAGGACAGAGTAGAACTGCCCCATAGGGTTTCCTGGGCTGTTATCTGTACAGGAGCAGATCGCCAGGTTTTTTTTTCTGCCAAACAGCTTGTGGGTCTGATCTGCCACCTTTCAGTTAGCAGCTAAGCACTTAACCATTGTGCCACCAGGGCTTCTTTACTATTAAGTAGTGAGTGATGTGTAAATAAGGTAAGCAGTTTATGTTTATTGCTGGTTGGAAAAGCAATTCAAGACAAAAAGCGTGACACAGCTGTTTAGTATCATGAATAGAACTGATCCTTTTTCTCTCTTAACCACAAGAAAAAACTTTTGAACCAAATTGTCTTTTATCTTTTTCTTCTTTTTTCTCTATGAAGTGTTAGTCCATCAGCAATTTAGAAAGAGTATTCTTGTCCTGTATTTGTTTCTTAGTTTTGCTGTCTGTCATGTTATTAAGAATGGCCTAATGAGAGAGGCTTCTCATTATTTCATTTGAAGTATGAATAGCTGTAATATCATAAATACTATAAATATAATTACAAAAATATGGTCAAAATCAATGAAAATGTGTTTTTGTTTATTAACATTGCTTTCATCTTCCCCAGATTGTTTATTGGTGAATATACATGAGTTATTATCAAATACCTGTTTTAGTATTTGGAAATTACAATAATTATTCCTTTTCTGAGTCTTGGAATTTTTGTGTTATTTAAGTTGGGTAACTCATAGCAACCCTATAGGACAGAGTAGAACTGCCCCATAGAGTTTCCAAGGAGTGCCTGGTGGATTTGAACTGCCAACCTTTTGGCTAGCAGCCATAGCACTTAATCACTACACCACCATAGGGTCGCTATGAGACAGAATTGACTTGACGGCAATGGGTTTGGTTTTGGTTTTGCTAAGTCAGGTAATGGGACAACCTTAATCTTTTATCATGATATGATTGTACAGTTCGTGTTAAGTTGTTGTTAGGTGCCATTGAATCGGTTCTGACTCATAGCTACCACATGTATAACAGAATGAAACTCAGCCCTGTCCTGTGCCATCCTAATGATTGTTATGCTTGAGCCCATTGTTACAGCCACTGTATCAATCCATCTCATTGAGGGTCTTCCTGTTTTTCATGTTATAGCATTACTTTTAAATTTATAATTTTAGCACTGTTTGTGATTTCTCTTATTTCTTGCAATATAAGGACACTATCAACAAGTAATGGCAGTATAGTATTGTCCTGTTGTCTGACTTAAGAATCTTGTTTTGTTTATATAAAAAAATGTAGAAGACATTTATGGTAGATTAGAGAGCACCAGATTGGGAGTATGAAAGCCTGTTGAAAGTGACAAAGCAGATACTTAGACTCCCATTCCTAAGGCAGCATAAAGTGGTGGAAATAGCAAGACCTTTGGAGTCAGACAGACCTGACCTCAAATGTTCCATCTACATATATATAAAGCATCTAGCACTGAGCTTGGCATTTATGCTGGTAAATGGTTGCCAAGTGTAGTGCTAATGAGATTTTTGATATTGAGTAAATGACCTAATCTTCTAAGTCTCAATTACTTCATCTTTAAAATGGATCCCTTGGAGAGGATAATTTGAGTGGAGGCATGAAAGTGTGTATACACAAAAGGGTGCGTGGGGCTGAGTGACTAGAGGTAAATTTGTAAGAGTACATTGAAACTTGATTGTGAAGAGCCTGAGTACCATTTTAAGGGAATGGACTTTATCCTGTAGTAAATCCTAACTCAGAGGAGAAACATGTTTTAGTAACATGTTATGGTTTACAAAGATACCAGTAGTAGAATAGATCCATACTACTATTATAGATCTATAGATAAAGATCCTCTATCAATTTTTCATACTACTACTAGTATCTAGTAGACTAGACTACTAGAGATTGAGGAAGAATTAAAATATATGTCTAGTAGTTTATGAAGGAACTGTGGTAGCCAGCTCATCTGCTAACCGAAGGGTCAGCACTTTGAACCCACCAGCCACTCTTCAGGAGAAAGATATGGCAGTTAGCTTCTGTAAAGATTACAGCCTTGGAAACCCTATGCGGAAGTTCTGCTCTGTCCTATAGGGTCGCTATGAGTCGGAATTGACTCAACAGCAGTGGGTTTTCAGTATTTTAAGAGTTGAAGAAAGTTTGTACTAAAGTCGAATAGGGGAGGTCAGAGGGGGATAGGTATCAGGGATCCTGGAATAATAGGATTGACAGACTTGATAACAAATGGAGGATGAAGGAAAGAGAAGAAGTTTTCTAGTATAGCAAACTGAATAATTGATACTGGCATAAGTAAAAATACAAATGTAGGAGGAATGAATTATTGGTGTTGGAGAAAGATAATTTGGTTTGAGTCATGGTAAATTCAAAGTATCTCTAAAAAAGTCTTAATGGAGACGTGGCATTAGAAATGTGGATTTGAAGCTCAGTATTGACTAATGTAAAATTGGGAAGTAGTGAATGAGGTCTTTTAGTTCTTCTAGTACTTTTCTCTCGTGTCTGTAATAGATCCTTCTTATTCATTTTCTTTTTGCTTATGCTTTTGAAATCCCACCCTCTTCTATCTCTCCTTTTCCTTGTTCTCTTTTTTCCTACTTTACTCATTCCCTTCTTTTTTTCTGTAAATTTTTAGAACTTTGTGCTTACTTTAACTACTACAACTAATAAAAGTTGGTGCTTATGGTAACTGTTTTATCTGAAAATTTGTGTGCTTACTGTTACTATCATGTACGATTAAAAATATTTTACCTATTACATAGTATTTCTCTCATATACATATTACCTCATTTCATGTGTCTTAAACTAATATAGAAAAGATCACTACTGTTTATGAATCTGGTGATTTTTTTTAAATATAGATTTCTATAATCCTGCCAGAATATAAATATATACCTTCACATTTAAAATGTATTTTGATGCCTTTTTTTCATTTTCAATTTTTAGGAAATAGAAAATAAAGAAAAGAAGTTAAAGAACTTAGAAGATTCTCTTGAAGACTATAACAGAAAATTCGCAGTAATTCGTCACCAGCAAAGCTTATTATATAAAGAGTATCTAAGGTATAGGTATTAGCAAAACTTTTTAACTATGCATGTTCTTCATGATTAAGTTACATAAACAATGTTAAAATATTTTGTTTTACTTCTCCCCTTCTGCCTCTCCCCCTCTACCTTTTTTTTTTTTTTAAAACTGGTGACCTGTCAAGAACATATTTTTAGATAGATGGTGTTGTAACTTAATCATTATAAGCCCATTCATTTCTCTGGAATTGTTCTGCCTGGGTTTGAATTCAGACATTATGTAGCCATGAGACCTTCAGCAAGTTATTTTACCTATCCATATCTCAGTTTTCCTATCTGTAAATTTCCATGATGGGAATCCCTTCTTCATAGGGTTGTTACGAAACTTAAGTGAGTTATTACATGAAAATACTCAGCTTAGTACATGGCATGTAATGAACACCTTGTAAATGTCAGCTATTGTTAGCATCTTCCATCGTCACCACCATCATCATTTTTCATATATCGTCATAGGGAACTAACATGTTTCTCCTTATCTCTTTCATCATTTGATTTTAAAAGTCATCTATATCAATAGAATCATTTGCTGGATATGTAGCAGAATACCTGACCAAAGGCAATTTAAACACTAAAGGTGATTATTATCTGATCTAACAAGAAGCCCAAATCTAGTACATTTTCAGAGTTATAGGGTAGGTCGTACTTCTTTTTTCTAGTTGCCATCGAGTCAACTCCAAGTCACGGTGACCCCATGTGTGTCAGAGTAGGGGTTGTCATTATCTCCTACTGTGGTTGTAAAATAGCTATAGGAGTTCAAGGTAGACAGAACCATGCCTATGAAAGAAAAGGGACTTTGTTTTTCCACTTACCTTTTTATTTATAGGTAAAAAAATAAAAAATTTCCAGAGGCTTCCAGTCGATTTTGACTCAGATCTCATTAGCAAGAATTGGGTCTCATGTCCAACTCTGAGCCATTTAGTGACAAAGAGAATGATGCCACCATTATTGATTTATGCGGAGCAGTTGGAGGCAATGGGGAAGGTAGTCAGGAATGTCTTCCCCACCCCCTTTTTAATCTAATTATTTCTAATTTTATTCTGAATATCTTACAAACATTTAACGCTCAAATTTAAGAGTAGGGTCAGATTGTTGAGACTTGATTTCCAGAATTAGTTTGAAATACTGATCATTTTCCTGATCTATATTTAATGTGTATAAGATTCAGTTTTAATTGCTAACTTTTTTGAATGGAATTTTGACATCTCATGTCATCAGCTACCGAGTAGCTATGATGTCTCTGGTTTTTTTTAAGAAAACTTTAAATTTCCATAATCTAAAGTTATCTCTTCCTAAAATTAAAACATTTAATTAGGTTTACTGTATTATTATTTTTGTTTTTTAAGTGAAAAGGAGACCTGGAAAACAGAGTCTGAAACAATGAAACAGGAAAAGAAAAAACTTGAAGATCAAATCCAACAAGATGCTGTAAAAGTAAAAGAATATAATGTAAGCAGAACACTTTTAAGATCAGTATATAATACTGTACAAACCAAGAGCTAGATTCAGCAAATAATATAAATATGTCTTTGGCAGAATTTGCTCAATTCTCTTCAGGTGGATTCAGATGAAATGAAAAAAATACTTTCAGAAAATAGTAGAAAAATCACTGTCTTGCAAGTGAATGAAAAGTCACTCATAAGGCAGTATACAACTTTAGTAGAAATGGAGCGACAACTTAGAAAAGAAAATGGGAAACAAAAGAGTGAATTGATATCAATGGAAGCAGAAGTTTGTGAAAAAATTGGATGCTTGCAAAGGTTTAAGGTATATCTGACTTTTTTGTTTGTTTTGATTCTAATTATAAAAATTTTCAAATATACAGAAGAGAGAATAGTATCATGAACAGTCACCACCTGGAGTAACAGTTAACATTTATTAACATTTCACCATAATTGCTTCATCTGTTTCTTGTAGGGATATTTAAGCTGCACACACTTCTCCCCTAAATATTTTAGTGTGCATTGCTGAAAACTTAAGACTTTTTTTACATAACCATAGTGCTTTTATCATGGCTAATAGACCATATGCACATTTGTCTGATACTCTCTTTGTGTCATTTAACTTGTTCCTGTCTCCCTTGTATTTACTAAAGGCTTCGAAGACTTCATTAGATTCAAGTTAAACCTTTTGGCAAGAATACTTCATAAGTGTTGCTGTGTATAATGAATCACTTCATGAAACATAATATCTGGTTGCTCTACATTTCATGATTGAATACTGTGTTAAGAGGGAGACAGCTATATGTCTCCATTATTAAGTGATTTAGTCAACTGTTTGGTGATATTTCGATACCATGCAATTGACCAATTCTTTGTCAACCTGCCTAATGGTTTTTGTATTCAGTGGTGATTGTTGCCTGACTGTTATTGCACTGGGAGTTGCAAAATTGTGATTTTCTACTTATATCATTTTTCTACATTTATTAGCAGACATTGCTTTCTAAAATAGAGCTTTTCCTCTTCAGCCTAGGCTATTGTCTTGAAGTGTAGTTCCTACTAGAAAATAAGATCAATGCTTCATTTTTTCCTTTTAATTAACAGTCTTCAGAATACAGAGTTGATGTACTCGGCTCCTGCCTGTTTTTGTTTTTGTTTTCCCCTCAGCTTTCTCTTTTTTAAATATCATCTAACAGACTCACAGACTTTTAAATAGTCATTATGCTTCAGTTAACTGGAGTCATTACTGTTTTGTCAGCTTTGGCCAGTGAGAGAGCCCTTTAAAGCTGGCTTTTTTGTCCTTTTGACAAGGATCCATTTAGTCTTTGAGCCAAGCTTTGTTGTTTTCTGGCACAACAATATATCCTTGACTTACCTTATGTACCTCATTACTTCATTTCAGAATGGATTATAACCATAAATTCTTTATCTTCCTCACATCATAAATTTGGTTATTCCTTGTTTATTCCTTCTGTATCAGAGTCCGTTAGTCTTTATTGTACTTATGTCTGTAATTATTATGTAATTATGCTGTAATTTTTGCTTATCACACAGAGCAACTTACTTGGAGAGAACTAAAAGTTCAAACTTTTCCTTTCAGTGTTACAGAAACATTACAGTGTCTTTAGTGATTTTTTTTTTTTTTTTTTTTGTAGCTCTGTGATGGCAACTAACAACAGTAATAGCTGACGAGTAGAACATGAATCAAATAACATAAAGACCTTAATATTATTTATTATAGACAACTATGATGAAGAGAAGTTTTTTCTCCCTAAATAATGTTTTCTTCATGTGAAAAGAAAGTTTTCTTTTGTTAGAAAGTTAGTTGAACTATAATAAGTGGAAATAGTTAAGCTGTGAAAGGTGGCTGTACCAATGCTAATTTTGCCATTCAGCTACCAAAAGGCAAGTTGTTTTTTAACCTTATGAAGTTGATAAAGCCGTCCAAAGATACATTCTGAATGATACATTTTCTTGCTATTTATTCTACTTTTCTCAAATTAATTGAATTTCAGTTCATGATGACAGGAGTTATAAGAGGTATGGTTGATTCACTTTATTTTTATTATGATTAAAGATTTCAAGATAGTATTATTTCTCATATAAGAGAAATTAATTTTATTACTGTCTAAGTTTTCTTCTTATACAGGAAATCTTTTATATTTTTTAAGTGGTTTTAAAATCTGTTTTGCTTTTTTTCCCAAAAGTGGCTAGTGCTTGCCCAGAAGAAAATACATCAAAATAACTCAGTGTATCCTTACTTACATAGGAAATGGCCATTTTCAAGATTGCAGCTCTCCAAAAAGTTTTAGATAATAGTGTCTCTCTGTCTGAACTAGAATTGGCCAATAAACAATACAATGAACTGACAGCTAAGTACAGGAACCTATTACAAAAAGATAATATGCTTGTTCAGAGAACAACTAACTTGGAACAGTTAGAGGTAAGTTTATGTGATCCTTAAGCCCTGTGTTATTAGCCATTCTTCTTCAGCAATATCTTTGTTTTTCTCTGTGGAGAAAGGGTTTGTAGATTTTAATAAGATAAAATTTATTTTTATTAATATAAATTTAAGGAACATCATTTATGGATGAAATTTAATTTTAGATATTTTGTTCCCGAATATTAAGACACACACACGTTATGTTTCTGTAGTTACAGACTCACTTCTGGACAACTTCATCCAGGTCATCTTCCATAGCCTACTGTTACAATTGAGCTGAACAAGCCTCTTTTCACCAAGTGTTTAAAAAAGACAAGGTAGCATGTAACAGATAGGTTATTGTAGTCCAAGGAGGATGTGTCCTTACATACCTACCCCTTTTTCTTACCCGTTCCCAGAGTATATTATTCGCATTACCCCTGGATTCTGTTCCTTGGGATGGATGTGGCTGACAATGGATAAGTTAATTAGTGTCTCTTCCTGGACCATGAATGAGCTCTACTAGTCTCTTCTTGTCTTATAGGGTAGAGTATCATGGTTTCATTCAAACGGTCTGCAAATATGACTCAGAACCTTTTACTGTTCTCTTGCTACTTGATAGCCATACCTTTTCCTATAGGCAAAACCAGTTCCTAATTTGTTTGTCTTGCTCATAAGCAATATGGGCTTAGGTGTTATGGCTTAATCTCTTCTAAGATCCTCTCATAGGAGTGTGACAAAAGCTAATTCTGTTGGTTCAAAAGCTTTTCCTTGCTTATTGGCACGTGTTCAGTAAATGAAAACGTTTTGAATAGTTTTCAATAACTCCTATAAAATTACCTGAGTCATTATGTATTAATAGTATTTAGAATTAATCATGGTCAGTTTATTGTTTACATTTGCCAAAAATATAATTATGCTAATTTTATAGAAAATTTTGAATATTTAGATGTGGTAATAACTTATTTTTTCCCTTTCTCCATGGTTTCTTCCCTCTTCCCTGTAGCATTAGTATGTAAATCCTGGATAAGAAGTCTCTTGTACACAATATATCAATGAGTAATTTTTAATTTTATTTTACCTGTTTTCCCAAAGAATATTTCTCATCTTTCGTCTTTGGACAATATTAGGGGCTTATATTTTGAAGTTACTTAACTTTCTAAAATACTAAAGATGAAAAGATAAGTAGTCTTTGTGATTCTCAGGTCTAGAATACAAGATAGCAAGTGATAATGCCATAAGAGAGGTATAGGTTACTGTGCTGTTGGAGTTTAGAAAAAGAAGAGGCTATTTCTAACTTGGCGAAGGAGGTGCAGTTTATGCTGAGCCTCGAAGAGTTTTAACATGCAGACATAGGGTGGGAGTGGAAAAGACTGTTTTACTCAGAGGGTAAAACACAAGCAAAGGCAAAAGATAGAAAAATATCGAGTGATAACATTATTTTTTCAAGTGGTCTGTATCTGAGTTTTAAGTGGAAAGGATTGAGGCAGATCCTGAAGGACTAGATTAGTTTGGAATATTTTTCATAGGTAGTGGGAAGTCTTTGCATATTTTTTGAGCAGGGAAATAATATGACCAGTAATATGATGGTTCTTATGGCCAGAATATTCATGTGATTGTGTGTCCAGTCCATGAGCATCCCATCATTTTGATGGAAAAAATGTTTATATACTTATATTTTAATCTTCGTTTTCTCATATATGCATATATGCGCTAATTACTTCAACAAAATTTGTTTAGTGCCTGTCTTAGTCATCTAGTGCTGCCATAACAGAAATATCACAAGTGGATGGTCTTAACGAAGGAAGTTTATTTCCTCACAGTCAAAGTAAGCTAAAAGTCCAAATTCAGGGCGTTAGCTCCGGGGGAAGTCTTTCTTTGTCGGCCTTCTCATCACTGTTCCCCTGGACTAGGAGCTTCTCGGCGCAGGGACCCGGGTCCAAAGGATGCGCTCTGCTCCCGGCACTGCTTTCTTGATGGTATGAGGTCCCCTTGTCTCACTGCTCACTTCTGTCTTTTATATCTCAAGAGATTGCCTCAGGACACAATCCAGTCTTGTAGATCATGGTCCTGCCTTACTAACACAACTGCCACGCATCCTCCCTCATTAACATCATAGAGGCAGGTTTACAACATACAGGAAAATCACACAGTGCCAGGAATCATGGCCTAGCCAAACTGATACACACATTTTTTGGGGGACATAATTCAAACCATGACAGTGCCTATGTTCCAGTTGTTATTATAGTGTGACAAAATCATCTCCAAAACTTAGTGAATAAAACAGCCATATAATTATGCTCATAGATTCTGTGGGCCAGTAGTAATTCAAACAGAACAGAGCAGGGATGGCATGTCTCTCACATCTGACACCTGGGCTGGAATGCTTCTGAAGGCTGATTCTCAGCTAGAACTGTTTACCAGAGTGTCTATATATGGTTTCTCCACATCCTTGAGCTTCCTCACAGCATGACAGTCTCAGAGGAATTGAACTTCTTATATGGCCACTCAGTGCTCTAGCACTCTAGTGAATAAGGTGTAAGCGACATCAAGTTCTGTGACTTAGCTTTGGAAGTCACATAGTGTCAACCTCCTCTGTACTTTATTGCTCAAAGCAGTCATAGGCTGCCCAGATTTAATGAGAGAAGGTATAGCCTCCTCATCTCTGTGGAAGGAATGTTAAAAATTCATAGCTTTTTCTTTTTTTTTTAAGACTGATATGAGTCAGAAATCAACTGGACAGCAGTAGGTTTGGTGTTTTTTTTAATATATATATAGCCTACTGTTTTCTAGGAAATCTTTGGCTGGCTGATTTACAGCTACCTCAAAACATATTTGAAACTCTAAATGTACCGTTTATCCCAGACTCATCAGCCAATTAAGAGACCTGTTAGTTGTAGTGTATCTCCTCCTCTCCTACACTTGCTGCATCTCAGATATAATTTTAAACATCTCTTATATCCAGGGTCCCTGGGTGGCACAAACTGTTTTCTCTTGACTACTAACCTAAAGGTTGGTGGTACGAACTTACCCAGTGACGCCGTGGAAGAAAGTCATGGTGATTTGCCTCCATAAAGATAACAGCCAAGAAAACCCTATGGAGAAGTTCTACTCTGTAACATATGGGACTTGATGGCAGTGGGTCTGTTTGTTTTTTTCTTATTTTATTGTTTATAATCTTTATTGTGATAGCTATTGCTCATCCCCCTATCTTCAGTCTTACCTTCTTCTTACTGCCACCAGAATAATCATTCTAAACATGTATCTGAACGTGTCACTCCCTTGCTTAAAACTTATCAGAAGCTCCCAAAAGTCCATCTTGTGGTAAATCCCCTACTTACGTCATGTCCTCTCCTACTTTAAGAAGACTCACGATGTATGTTTTATAAACTGAAATATCAGTTACCTGCAACACAGTGTTCCTTCTTTTATGTGTTCTGTTGTACAGGCTGTTTTCTTTGCCTACAAAACTCTACCAGTTTATCTGCTCAGTGAATCTCTAGTCATCTTTCAAAACTTGTTTAGGCATTACCTTTTTTTCTGAAGCCATCAGTTATTTGTGGTCCTTTTTACAGAACAAATCACTCCTCTGCCTAGACTAGTTCTATGTTTTGTACATAGTTCTGCTATTTATATCATAATATATGTGATATTTGTGATATTTGCCTCCTCTACAGGAGTATAAATCTCTTGATATCAGGGACTCTATTTTATTCATTTTTATGTGTTTAGTACCTCCTGTTTGGCAGAGTTAGAGCTAATAAATGTTGAACTAAGAGTGTGGTTATTGGTGTAGAGCCACAGTGCAAAGGTCATCAAATACGGTGATTAGGAAATCATTGATATCTTCTAAGA